AATATTTTTCATTTCTGCTTATTTTATCATATAAAATAAAGAAAAAATTAAGATTTAATACAATATAAGTTATTTTGTTTCATATTAATATTATAATAAATACATATTATAATGAAAAAAATGAAATGAATTGAAATATTAGATTTTAAAGATGATTTTTTCCATAAAATATAATAAATAATATAATAAAAATAATAAATATAATAAATAAATAATTTTTAATTTCTCAAAGATAATATATAAAAAAAAAAGGAAATAACAAATTATATTGATTACCAGTTATTTTATAATTACAAAAAATCATCATTTATCGACATTATTGAAATAAAATTTTATTCATGTTACCATTTTTATCAACATCTAATAACTTTGATAACTATAAACTAATATATATGATGATATGTAAACGGAATGTAATCACATTTCTATTATCTATTGTCAAATTTAAATTTAATTTTCATCAAAGATTAACAATATTTTGTATAAAAACAAATATTTATTATATATTAAACATAATATAATGCATAAATAAAATCTATGTATAACAATTTTTTTATTTCATAATATTATTTTTGGATAGAAAGCAAAATCATTATTATTTTAATGTCACTCTCAACGTTATCGATTCAGTAGAAGAATAAGATTATAACATTCATAGTGGTTAGAATTAAAACTACATTTTAGTATGAAATCATAAATAAAATATAGAAGAGATTGTCTTGTAAACAAAAATCGAAATAAATAGTTATTTTAATTTAAAAAAATTTTATTTTTTAATTTTCGAATTTTCTTGTATATTTCATTTAAGAGAATATTGGTTTTTACAAAATTTTTTTGGAAAATAACGTTATCATTCTATAAAAACTTTTTAAAAAGTATTTTTATAATATTTTACAATCAATAATATAATAAAAGTTTCGTGGAAACAAATTATTTATTAATATTAAATATTAATATATATTAAAAGTAAATTATAATATGATAATAATACTAATAGATATTAATTTTATTACAATATATTGTAATTATAAAATCGTTATACAAATAATTTCTTAAGATAACATTATTATATTTATTAAATTATTATAATTGTAATTATTAATATGTTTATAAAAAAAGATATGATATATATTTTTTATGTCATTGTAATATTATTTATTACGTACTTGTTATATTGATGGAAAATTTATTTATTATTGTAAATATAAAAAATTTTTATTTTTATATTTGTATTTAAAACTTTACATTTAAAATTATTATTTTCAAAATTTTTTTTTTATGAAAATTAAAATTCATAATGAAAATATTTTTTAAAAAAATTCTAAAGTTTATATTATAAATAAAATTTGTGAAAAAGTTCTACAGTTTTTTCAAAATTTGCTTATAAATATAAGTAATAAAACTTCAGATTAAAATATATTTCTTTATTCTTATTCTTAAAAATTATTATGAAAGATTTAATTGGAACAATGATTTTGTATAGAAAATATTATGCTTTTAATGTCTTGCATTAACTCAATTATATAATATAATAAAACAAAATTAATATAAAAACAATTTTCTTTTTATTTTTGAAAATATTAATTAAATGAATATGATTTTATTTTCCTTTTATATACAAGATAATTACCTATTAAAGCAAAATTATTTTTATTACCAAAAAATTATGGATTTTTATTTTACAGTTTTGAATACATTTTGAATCTGATCAAATATTTTAAATAAGTATTATTTATGACATATTATATATAAAATTTTTATATATATTTTATTCTGTAAATCAATTCATTTCATAATTTTAATTAAATAAATTTTATGATATAAACTTAATAAATTTTAAAAAATACATATTTTCTCAGATTTTTAAACATAAAATATTATTATAGAATATTATAAAATAAAAAATTGTTTTTGTTAAAAAATTCATCATATAGTTTCTTTAAAAATTTAAATCATTAATATATTTAAATATATATAAACTATACTTTATATTATTATAATGTCAATTTTACATTCTTGTCTTAAATTAATAAAAGTGCAAATATATAGATTCAAAATTAAAAATGTTTTATTTTGTATTCAAAATATATTATAGGAAATTACAGAAAATTCAATACATTTTTTTTTTATTAATTTACTTATTTATTTTTCAAATTCTATATTATCACAAAAGAAATATTTCAAAAAATATTAAGAATAAATTTTTCAAAATCATAAATATATCTGATTATAAGAACTATTTCATTCCATTTTAAAACATTAAATTAAATCGTATTTGTAAGTAGAAAATTTAAAAATTGAAAAGAATAAAATAAAATTGTAAATAATATATATTTTGATTATTTTAAGATTCAAAGATCTTAAATTATTTTAATTAAGAAAGGTATACTAATATCAACATACTTTACACATAGTAATATCATTTTCTATAATTAATTGTTTATTATATTATGTTAAGTATAATTAATATAATTAATTGTGTGCATATAGTCTATCTTTATTCATATATGTACTTCTAAATAGATTGATATGAATTTTCACATAAATTTTTTTATCTAGTATGAGATTTCTTTATCTAGATTCTACATTTTATTTTAATATACTTACGTGTACTTCTAAATTGTTTAAAGTATTTAAATTTTCATACAAATTTTATCATGTGTAAATTTTTTGGTAAAAATATAATAAAAATAGAATCAAATCAAAAGTAAAACAATTTGTGATATATATATATATACATATATATACACGGAGGTATATATTATAACATATAAATAAATATTAATAATCTCACATTTCATAAACTACAATTAAATAAATAACAATACATATTTTAAAAAATAATGAATCTTATATAAATATTTATTCTTTTTATTTTCTTCAATTACATAATTTATATAAATTGAATTACAATATTAATGAATATATAAAATAATATATTATATTATGAATTTTTATATTATTTATTTAAATAAATGTCAATATATTTTATTGTTTTAAATATTAACATTTTATAAATCATAAAATTATTTAAATATATTTTTTATTTTAAAAAACAAAGCTATTATTAATTTTATAATGCATTTTATGATATCAAAATTGTTTTAATTCTTTTTTTGAATAGTTTTTTCTTCAAAAATGTCTAAAGATTTAATATTGCATAACAAATTCTTACAAAATAATCAATATTTTATAAAAATATAAAAATATTATTAAATGTATTAAAATTATTTGTTCAATTTCTTCAAAAATATTTAAAGATTCAATATTATATAAAATTAAATAATTCTTTTATAAAAATATAAAAATGTATTAATTATGTTATGTATTAATTATGTATTTGTGTATAAATTATTTGTGCAAATAATTTTTATAAAAATAACTTTTTAAAAGATAAAAATATAAAATATTACATTGACACTTATATGTTCAAAGAATTCTCCTTTATTGTTTAAAATGAAATTCTAAACATTTTAGTATGTTTAATTTTCATTTAACATTTTATTTTTAAGTAAAATTATACTATATAATATATTTAAGTAAAATATATATATATATTTGTATATATTTTACAAAATTTGGTATTTTTCAGAAATTGAGATTAATAGATCATTTCTATTTTTAAATTAATATTAAAATGAA